ATATATATTGAACGTGTATGAACGTTTTTGTAAGGGTTTGTAACTTCGTCTTGTTAAAGCGAAAAATGTTGGATTTGAGTTTCATCGTTAACGTCGACATTTGCATATATATATATATATATATATATATATATATATATATATATATATATATATATATATATATATATATATATCATGCTGAGTAGTCCGGAAACGGACGAGATGCGCATCCTTCATTCCACTGCTAATCACATTTATTTCATTACAATAAAAACTTCTTGTATGTATTTGTATTCATTTTAATCACATACATCATTTTATAATTGATTAAATATGTTCAGTCAGTTCAATGTTTTAGTATCTTCGTTGTCTTTGAAGATGCACTTTTCATTGATTTGCACTTCTCATTCATTAAACGAAGAAATACAAACCTACATATATAAATATCAGAAGTCGTTTTATGGATATTAAAGTAATTTTTAATAGTTGAGATCATGTGTCAATTGAAGATAGAACACCGTGGAAAACATGGAGGCACCAGACGGCCGTTTCGTTCTACTGTGGGACTTCTCAGCAGTGCGCATCCACGATCCCTCCTGAAAACAATGGTGGATGTGTCGCTCAATTTCATGGATTAGTTGAAGTTAGACAATAAGACCGTTGGACGCCGGCTCAGTGGTCTAATTGTTAAGCGCTCGCGTGCGAGACTGATAGGTCCTGGGTTCGAATCTTGCTAGGCGAGATCATGGATGCGCACTGCTGAGGAGTCCCATATTAGGACGAAACGGCCGTCCAGTGCTTCCAGGTTTCCCGTTGTGGTCTAGCTTCAATTGACTCATGATCTCAACTTTTAAAAAATATATAAGTGTGTTAATAATAGTAGGTAAACATAGATTGTTGCAAATGGTTTTTGACAAAAATCAGCAATGACACCATAATATAATAATGATCTTGAATTTCAGTCAGTCAGTCAGTCAGTAACAACGTAGAACTTCGTACGTACGTACATCAGTTCGATCTTGAATGACTAAATTACGTAATATTGTTAACTATTGAGTTACGATTTATTCTCCTAATTATATCTTAATGTTGGTGGCCAGATTCTTAAGATCCTCTGTTCAATACTACTTTATGAAAATGATTTTGTGCGTTAAGTACTGATGATGAGTACTACAAAACCTAACGAAAGACCTTTAACTAGCTGTTGTATCAATTTCTAATAAATCATCATTTATCACTGATACGTCCAGTTCAAAATTTACTCATCATTCAATAAAAGAAGGTGAAACTACAAGCTGAATCCGGACACAATCATGCTCAGCGATGGCTTTATTGATACCGATCAATTTTGATTCATATCACTCGCAGATGCATGTCAAATTCATCACGCCCACTATCTCACAATGTTTAAATAGAGCAGGCTTGTAAATGTTGACTTCATCATCAATTCAATTATCGCCTGTTAACATAACAATAGATTAACTTTCTCAATTCATGATGCTTTAATGAAACCCTCAACTAAATTCATAACTTTATGTATTTCGTACATCGAAACATTCTGCACACAACAACGACGGTTTTGTTATCGCTGTTGTTGTTCTTGTTGTTGTCGTTCCATGAAATATTTCAGTTTAAAATTACATCAACTATCTTCATACTGTTTTATGTAATCACTTTTCAACATTCAATGAGATTTCTTTTTTTTGTTGTTGATCGAAACAGTCTCATTGTTTAGACTTATACATATACAATCCACTTGTAAAGAATAGAATAACACATGTATCATTGTACTGTTGGTTTGATGATATAATGAGTATTAGTTAAAAGGAAGTGGATGATGATGATATTCGTTTGCTGATGTTACTACAGTTCTAAAATGACAGCAGATGTTCGCACAATTATCTACACTCTGATTAAATATACACAACTCACTAAGTCAACTGACCTTCTCACTCGAATGTGATTAGTGACAAAACTATCCAATCATTATCGTCCACTCTGATTCGTTGTATATTCATTCGTTATGTTTGTTGATGTTAATGATGTTGTACAGTTTTGTGCAGTGGATATGCTCCAATTTTGTTTACCTCATTCATTCACATTAATTTGTAGATGGTTAATTGATGAAGAAGACAAATGTATGGATATTTGTACTTTGTGTTATGGAATATTCTCGACACACACTTGTAGATCTCATTAATTGATGCATTTGACATCAGATGAACTATGCGTTGTAAAGTCTATTATATAGTCTCTATTGTTTGTGTTATTTAAGTAGAGTTGGTGAGACTATAATTTATGGCCGACGTTTGAGCGGTGATGCCAAGGTGACCTTGAGAGTGTCTACCTACTTACTAGTTCTAAATGTGGGTTATAGAGCATTTGAAGAATAAGGATTATGATTTACTGTTGATGGTTTGGGTTAGGGTTTTCATCATGAGCTGACATCAGCTATAATGCCAAAACTCTATTTAGCCAAATGGGTGAATGGTTTTTGCTCCAAAATCGAAGACCTGTTATCGTTATTCTGATAGGTTCGTTCATAAATTATAATCTCGCCTTAGAGTTAAAATACTTTACATTTATCCAATATGTCGTAAGCTTGAACCCTAGTATCGTTATTGTTACTGTCAAGCCATTAATCACCGAACGGACATTTCTTTACTACGTCACGCTTCATATTTTATTAATTTATGTGTTGTAAATCGTATTAACTGTACTTGATCAATTGACCCTGTAAACCAAACAATATGAAATTAACAAATTTATGTAACTATACTTATTCTTATCTATTTGTATTTGATATTCGTTGAGGACATAATTGGTTGATCTCGTATTCTATCAACAATTAAGTGGTTTCGTGACGTATAAATGTTCTAGATTCGATTCCCATTTGAACCACCAAAAAATGGGATCCAATAACTAGTCGTGCTGTTGAGATCAGCAATCAATAAGCAACACAGCTTAGATTCACCATTAACGATTATTTAACATAAATATATTATTTGTACTACTTGTACATACGCATAAAATGAATTCATCATAAACATTCTGCCTATACATAACTAGTTCATATCGTTTTACCTTCTAATTTGTATTGTCTTATGATTCATATTCGATTATATGTATGTATATGTGTGTACTGGTGCTGGTGCTGGTTTATTTGTAGATCTCCTAATGTTTCTTCAGTTAATTGAAAATTCAGATTATGAAATTGATATAAAAATGCAAACAACATTTATGTATTGTATATAATTTGTTATAGTGATTAGACTGACAATAATTCAGTTAAGAATTGTACCAGTAGTATAGTTTTGTTGCTATGATTTGTTTTTACTTTAATGAAATTAGTGTTCAAAATTTATTTATTTATTTGAATACATCAGTATTGGTACAAGCAATTACTGAATATATACGTGCCATATAAGTCACTTGATTTGTAGATGGGTTGTAATACTGCTAGGATGCCCAGACCGAACCAGGCGGTTTTCTTGGGTCACCACTTTTAGAACTTTCGACCTAAAGGTCTGATCCAAAAAACGGTCTAGCAACGTTAGGCGATGCAGTCCTATGGTATCCGGTACCCTACGATTGGTTCATATGCTATTTGTTTCTTTCAGGATCCTGAAGCCCATGTGCATCACTGGTTTGGAATCAGGATTTTTCAACTCCTCTAGATGGATCCTCCGTATCCACCAAACCGGTCAAAGCACCGAACATTTGCTTTTCGTCCCCTCAATTTCGTAATCAACAGTAACGCCACGAGAAGGCATTGTCAGGGAAGTCCTACTCACTTCCTTCTCGTGGTGGGGGTGTTGTTTTCGAAATTGAGAGGACGAAAAGCGAATGTTCGGCGCTCTAACCGGGTTAGTGGATAAAGTGAACCCACTTAGCGGAGTCGGGAAACGCTGATTCCAAACTGAATCGACCTATTTTTTAATATATTTAGAGATTCCATGGTTTTAGATTTATTAGAGTTTAGAAATCATGTCATAAATCAGTTTTTTGATTGTTTTCGATATTTTTTCAAACATAACAGCTCATTTACGACTGACCGGAAAGATTCTTCAGAGTAAGATATATCTTAGATTACATCATAAAATGAACTCAATAGGAAGTTGAACTATGTGGATATCAGCCGAGTTTCATGATAACGATAATATGGTCGTTGTGGAAGTTGATATTTCACGAGTACTCATTACTGACTAGTAATCTGAAAATAAGGCAAAACAACTGTTCATTGTTCCATGGATTTCATTATTTCACTAGGTTGATTTCAGTCCTTAAAGAAAAGTAGTTTCCAATCATGGATTATGATAATGGCATGGATCACAGCCAGATAGTTGGCACCTATATACATGGTTCAGTTTATAGGTTGATCCTACGTCTCTGTTTAGAGGATTCTAGGTTTCCTTCAACCTATTTCTGCACTAAAAAACATTGCATATGAAGATGAATTATTTACTGTAACAAAATGTCTATTAATGAATAAATTGAACACATAAACATCAGTACAAGGGGCACCAAATACATGTAGGCCACACAATGACAATTAAACTAATGGCAGTTATCATTGCTTTGTATGAGGACTGTAATACTGCTGGGGTACTCAGATCCAAGCAGGTGGTTTTCTTATGCGACTACACCCAAAGCCCTTGACCTAAAAGTCTAATCCACAAGTCAACGTTAGGAGATGTAGTCCCATGGTAGCCGGTCACCAATAATTAGTTCATACGCCATTTGTTCCTTTAGTATCATGGAGCCCATATGCACCATTGGTGGTCCACCACTTTTCGTTCTCTCGATTTCGTAGTCAACAATATTGCCACAAGAAGGCAGTGAGTAGGATTTCCCTGACAGTGGTTGTACAGTCGTAGCCATGTGAGAGCATTTCGATAGGAAGAGCTGATTTTCCCCACTCTCGGCCATATCAGGTCATTTGTGGGCATCAATATTATTTACTATCGTTGATCCGTTTTTTATTTTAAATGTTACTATTGTTTTCTTTCTATTTTTAGTTAACTTTATTCAATCCAACTGGTCTTGTAGTGAAAATGTTTGTTATTGTATATGATTTAGCTGATATGCCACCAAATTGTCAAACATTCTTAAGACAACGTACAGTTTATATGCCAATTCAACAACATAATCAATTTCATTCATCTTATATAATTTCCAATTCAACACAATCAACATCTTTACATAACAATTCCACTTGTTCATTTCATAAACCTCAATATCATTCAACACATACTAATACGAATCATTTAAATTGTAATAGTACTCCTATTACATCAATGATAAATACAAATGTATCAATGAATAATACATTATCCAACTGTAATACAAATCATTTATGGGATATATCATCAAAATCATTAACTGAACCAAATACACCATCATTTCTATCTTATTCATCATCATGTTCATGTTCGTCTATTACATCAATTGGTTCATTAAGTTCATATGGTTCACAGAATGCTGTTAATAATAATAACACTACTAATAGTAATACTACTACTACTAATAATAATAATACTGGTATTGCTGGTGTGTCATTGAATACACGTAATGAATTACCTGCCTACTTACGATATCTAGTTCATTTAAGGTAATAATATTCATTGTTTGTTGAAAAAAAACCAATCAAGAGAAACTTTATTTTTCTTATTTTTCTTAATAATGATTAAATAAACAATGATTTAAACTAACTAACAACATGAATTGGTTAATCATATTATTTATAAATAGATCAATAGATTTTTTTTTATTGAGATCATGAACCGATTGATGTTAGACTACTGTTGGAAACCTGGAAGCAATGAACGGCCGTTTCGTCGTATTGTGGGACTCTTCAGCAGTGCCTATCAACGATCCCATCTCGTGGGATTCGAACTCAGGACCTATCGGTCTCACACATGAACACTTAACTTGTAGACTACTGGTGTTATTTTTCTAATAGAAATACCTCACTACCGTCAACCAACAACATGAACTGGTTAATCATGTTATTTATAAACAGACCAATAGATTGTTGACAATTTTAGCTCAGAATTATTATTCGTTACATTTTTTGTGGATATTATAGTAATTTCAATAGTTGAGATCATGAGTCAATTCAAACTAGACTACTATGGAAAACCTGGAAGTACTGGACGGCCATTTTGCCTTAGCATGGGATTCCTCAACAATGCGCATCCACGATCCTATCTCGTGGGATTCGAACCCAGGACCTATCAGTCTCGCGCTTGAAAACTTAATCTGTAGACCACTGGTGTTAGTTTTCTGATGGAAATACCCCACTCCCATCACATTATAGCATAGTCGATAATAGACTCCTCCATCGGAATTTAGTGTTGCTGCTTTAAGTCTTACCGCTATTCAACTAACCTTCCTGGCCATGATATGACAGACATAAAAGAACTTGCGTTCCAGTCATGATCACTCAATTTATTCAGCATGTTTTGCAAACTCAACCAACCACACACCAAAGTAGCAGCTACAACCAATACGTATTTCGTTTAGTGTTTATCAGTTGGAAGTTATCTACAGGAAGTCTTTATTAGCTTTGTTTTCATGTTAGTTAACATTCATCAACTAAATGCAAGGTCTTAACCATCGGTTCTATCTTCTCGCGGATCTCAACCAAGTAGTCTACATCTACCAACATGGCTCAGTCCACTTGTCAGTGACTTCATGATTTGTACCATACTTAACCTATTTTATGGTTAGCATGTAAACTAATTGGAAGTGAAAACGCTGGCAGCAGAAAACTAAGAAGATCACGTTAAAGAGAAAACAGAAACGGAAATAGAATGGCACTGTAAGAATCATACTGAATTTGTAAGACAAATGATGGAATTTTACTAATGAAGTATTCAATGTATGGTTACCATATTTTACCAAAAGTTTATTTATGTTTGTTCGTTTATGTGTATGATTATCTGAATTGTTTATTCCTTAAAATTGCTAATCATATTTATCACATTATATGCACTTTTATCTTGATCTGCGTGTTTCTTTCTATTGCACGTTCTCTCTTTCTCTTTCTCTCTCCCTCTCACACATACACACTTACACTCCAAGTATCATAATACATAATCGGATTATGATATGAATTCATTCGTAATTGTTATGCGTATGTGTGTGTTTATCCACTTCGTCGTAAATGACTTACTTTTATCAATTCTTGATGAAATTAGCAGTTATAAACAATGTGATATATTGATCACTTTGTTGTTCTATTCCCCTGTTTCTCAAGTACACACACTGGAGAGTAAGAAGGTGTATAATTTAAAAGAAAATGACTATCAACTCCTATGTTTACACTTCTTAATGGTAAATCACGAGAATTCGTTGAATGTGTATCCATGGATCTCATTTTGTGAGTTGAACTCAGCTCACTTATTTCGTTAAGTGGAACTACAACATTAAATTTAATCTACACTATTGAATTTATGGATTCACGTTGTATGGATTTATTTGTGCTTAGAGATATCATTTAAACCCCCAAATGCCCTGGTACGACCGGGAATGAGTAGAGTCAGCTATCCCTCTCAAAATACTCTCAAATGCTCACGTGCATACAACCACTGCTAGGGTAGTTTTACTCACTGCCTTCTCGAGGTGGGGGTATGTTTTTACAAAATTGAGAGGACGAAATGCACTTTAACCGTGTTGGTGGATATGGAGGATCCATCTAGGGAAGTTGGAAAACCCTCATTCCAATCCAATGATACACATTGGCTCCAGGATCCTGAGGAAACAAATCGCGTACGAACCATAGGTTACCGGTAACATTTTTCTATGAACAATTAGTGTTTTATTAAACATTATCACTAAGACCACCTCTAATCCAATGTCCTTTCCAGGTACGTCTCCTGACCGAGTGACTTTAGTCGTAACAGGAGAGTGAACTTCAGTTTTTAAGTAACCTTTCGAATTTGGATTAATACGCCTAATCCTAACACTTCAATCAATAATAACTCAATCAAATGTTAAACATACTTAATTACTATTATCGAAATCCACCTAACCTTAATTCTTCATTGGATATTATCCACAGAGCAATATAAACACCAAAACCACTTACTGAACATGTATTGATTCGTGTACTCGGCTTTAGATCACGTTATTAGTATGTGGAAGGTAGTGTTACAACTGTCTAGTGGTTGTTGATCTGCTAATTCATTAATTTAGACGAACCACCAGTGAATAATTAAGGCCCATCTATATGAAAGACCAGATGTTTTTTTCAGCATATTGCTAAATCCATGAATGTTATAAGTATGATGTAGGGATTATTTTGAGCTATTTGCTATGTTCACTATCTGATTAACGCATAATACGGTATACAACTACGGTACTCGAACATATAGAGCACCACAGTAGCAAAATCAGAAGACAGAAGGAATCTAGAGAAGTATTGGTTGGGTAAGAATCAAAATATACAGAAAATCATGGGTATTTATAGATATTAGCGTTTGTTAAATCAATATTATAATTCAACCAATCCGAAAGGATGTATGTTATGTTAGTGTCCATTAGTAGCATGCCACATTGATTTTCTAGAAAGCTCTATCGCTTTCTGACTGGATGGAATCTCTTCGGCTCGTTTAAGGCCTCTAGAGTCTCTATCATAGTTCTTGTAAGTTGTTCCAACACTATTCTTTAAAAACGTTATCGTAAGTCAACAGTTTATGAGGGAAAAGTTTCTTTTTCTTTTACAAGATTTTCTATCTGAAAATTGAAAATATTGACTTATAAGTCCATGCATATAGATTAAGAATTTTTCACTTTCTCAAATACTCATATAGTTTATAAGTAGTTAGTACATTGATCCTAGTGACAATTTATGTTTAATTTATTTTATACATACAATCTATATACAAATAAATCAATTTTATCTAAGATAAATGTTTTTCATTTTCGAATTTCGTCCAGGAATTTTCTCGATTCTGATTGGCTTCCTATATACATTACTTTTACCTCATAATTAACCAATAGGATTTAAGGTCACATTGGACTTCATTCTGATTGGTTGTTTCGATTTACTTGATAAGTATTGAATTTATCATTCAGAATTAGTCCAGAAGTGGGTTTTGTGGAGATTTTAGTAATTTAATAGTTGAATTCATGAGTTAATTAAAGCTGAACCATCATGGAAGCGAGCCTGGAAACACTAGACGACTGTTTCGTCCTAGCACGGGACTCTTCGACAGTGCGCATCCCCTATCCCACTCGTGAGATTTGAACCTAGAATCTATCGGTCTCTCATGTGAACGATTAACATTTAAACCACTGAGTTGTCATTCAACCATGGTAATATTCAACTTTAATGCATCCATGAAATTGCTTCGACGTCCGCTATTGTCTCAATGAGTAACTTCATCTACAATAGATTCGGTTGAATTCCACTGGTTATGACTTCTAAATGTTTCAAGAAATTGGATCATTTGCTAGTCAACTGATATATAGTTTTTATGTGATAATCTTGGTTTGTATTCTAGAACAAACATCATAACTTATTCTCTTTATATTCTCAATTTTTGTTTTGTATAGATTTCATACAACTCGTTCAGGTAAATTATACCTTCATACAGATTTACGTTTAATATTTTCACGTGATAAATTTGAATTTGATCCACGTATAGCAACTTATGAATTACGTTCATTTGTTGATGCTCCATCAAATCCACGTTATTCACCAAAAAAATGGTCAACACGTCATCAGAATATAACAAAATATCAAAAATCAATTCATCATTCAAAGATTACATAATACAAGAATGTTTCAATTGATGTTGCCTCATTCGTTTTTTCCATAAATTAATTCCAATTTAAGATTATTGAAAATTCATTCAATGATTCGTTTATTTTCATAAACCTTTACAAGTATCTATATCTATATATATACTCCCCCTTTACATCTATGTTTGTTAATATTGTTTAATTGTTTGTTCATGTGCATGGGCTTCAGTTCTCTGTTTTCCTTTTTTGGTGTTTATTTTCTTACTGTGATATTATCTCCTTGGAATATTTACATACACACCCACATATATATATCTTGCTTTTTACTTCTTTCTATTCTTTAATATACTAACTATATATCACCACACAGTTGTGCATTTTTCTTCTTTGTGCCTATATATTCAGTGGTTACGGTTTGACTGAATACTACTACTACAGTGGTGTGGGTTACTTATATCCATATGAGTAATATATAACGGTGGTCAGGCATAAAATGTATTCCAGTAGAAGATCAATAAGGAAAGAACGAAAACGGAACACAGTTGATATGAAAATACATGAACAATGAAATCTGAGACAATGAACTGATATTTGCAAAAGATACAGTGAAGTTTGAGACAATGGATTGATATTTTGTAAATGAAGTATTTACTATATGGTTCTCAGATTTTAGTAAGATGCTCCGTCATTTCGTGTTCAAATACATTCGATTGTCTCCACCGGTGTTTTTGTTCACTACACTACTACTGCTACTACTACTACTCTATCGGTTTAATATTCAGTTATAACGTTTAGAAATTGTATATTACATAATGATAAAATACTTTATTATTATCTTTTTGACTATCGTTTATCCATCCGTCATTCTGATTAGTTTGGGAGAATATTCACCTTTTTACTATGTGTACTCTCCGAATATTCCACACGTTGATGAATTCCATACAAACATATACCATTTCATATAAAGTTAGAAGATCCTCTATGAATAAGAATTCAATCATATGTCATGTCTATATACAAGTGAATGATTCATTTCTTATCATATTGGATAGGATTGGATTTACAATATTTTAATGTATATACTACTATTATTATCATTCATATTACAATTGATATTGTTATTATAACTTATATCACTAATATTTATTACCTTTTTGCACTACTTAAATTTGTTAATTATTTGTATACTTGAGCATATATACCCCTCTGAATATACAGTTCGATAACAGTTGCCATTTCGTATAATAGTATCTTATGTGAACTCATATATCTATACACACATACAGTGCTAGTCAATGATGTTTACTTGATTTTATTATTACTTCTACTGTCATTAATCACTTAGCGATTAGTTATAAACTCGTTTTTTGTTGTTGTTGTTGTTGTTGTTGTTTATTTCTTCATTTCTGTTCTGTTTTTTTTTTGCTTCTGAAGACTGGTTGTTTCTTTATTGAAATGTCTTTCTGTGTAGTTGATTTGTTGTCCCGTTTTGTGGGAGGTTATTGATGTTTTATTGGATTCCTTGATACTTTTGTTTTCATATTTGTGTCTTTCATCATTGTTAAAATGTTTGAAGCGAACAGATAAAATGGTTTTTACCTGTTGGATTTTCATACAATTTAATTTATGTGTATGTATTCTATATGGGTGTGTATATCTCTTATTCATTCCCAACTTAATCACTTATCCATACATTACGCACACAGATTAGATACTAAACTTATTCATAATAATGACAGTACTTACCCTCTTTTTTTTCTCTCCCAATCGTGTAATGTTTAATAGTTGTGAAGGGTGTATGGTGATGATGATGATGGTAACTTTACCTAGTGAATAGTAAATAATACTAACTATATTGATCAATAACTCGTTGAATTATGATCATCTATGATGCACTAGAAAACGATATTGTAACAGGAGATGAGTTTCACACATACAAACATACATGAATCTATTTACAAGAATTGATTTTTACTATTAAGTTCTTCTTTCGTGAAAATGTTTTGCAGACTATTCATTTATTTGTCAATATTGTTTACATACCTCTATCTCTTTGTATATTTGTGGATGTGTGCGCAATTAGTTTGCATTCTCATTATTGATTGATTGTTCAAGATCAATCACTCAATGTTATGAAGATGCTTGTTTGGTTCTTTGATTTTTGTTTTGTATGTCCAATAATCGATTCATACATACACACACACACACATGCATATTCATTCGCTCAATCACATTCTGTGATGCAACTTATCTTGTTTGTATATCCATGCCTTTACTCAGTACAAGAATGTATTGTTTAACTACCTTCATTTATGTGCTTCTTTCTGGGTTATTTTGTTGCTGTTATTTTTTTTTCAATTTCTTTTTCATTTGTTTATCTATTGATATTATTTTCTTTATTATTTGTCGAAAAAAATTGATTGTCACAATTCTTGTTGTTTTCTGCAATTGATCAGTCCCTTGTTGGCATATCCTGTACGGACTGCTTCGATATTGCCTTAATTCACAAGCTTTATAAGCAAAGATGGATAGTGACTAGTAGTGGAATCCAGTTTGACGCACGTTTCGTCCTATTTGAAACCGTCACCTGGATGTACCTGCATCTGAGAGTTAATGTTCACTCTGGGACTCGAACCTAGTACCATCCGCGTCAAACCCTATCGTATTATCCACTTAGCTACTGAGTTCTGATAAGCACCTGTTTGTGGAATGGGGTGAAATTATACTCACTTGGTGTTGTTTACTTGTATCTTCCCATTGATATTTAGGACTGTAATTGATCGGTCTCTTGTTGGCATATTTGCATCCTATGCGGACTGACTCGATATTTCTCTCTAAACTATTGATTATAGAAATTCATAATTAGTAAATAAGTTATGTGCTTTGATGGTATTGTTGTAAACGCCAAGAATAAATGTTACAATGAAATTAATAGAATAAGTATAATAACAAGTGAACTCAATACATCTTGAGTTACAATATTCCCTCATAACTTCAAGGCTTTCGTATATGCCCCATTGTGATGATAAAGTTAGGGTAGGATACTTAATTACGCCTGTTACTCCTCATGGTGGAGCATAGGCCGCCCACCAGGGTAGGATAGACTTAACTAGTAATAATATGATGGATTGATTTATTAAGTTTTTGAACCCTTAAATATCTTTCAAGGATCGTACAGTAAAAATGTAATTCACCATGCTGTTATATATAAACTTGTTCAGGAAAGTAATCGATTGTATTCCACATTTCTTGGTCACATTGTATTATATATATTGTGATTACTCAGTGGAATAGATGTGGATGTTAAACGGAACCGACGTCCCGTCTGTGCACGACTGGTCCTTACGGAATCCTGTCTGGTGATCTCGAAGTTGGGCGTCTTTTGAGTCTTTCGTCCGGTTCAGCGACACTGTTGAAAACCTTTGGTGTTACCGATTGTAGTGTATTGCTTCTGTAGTTCTCACAGTTGCTGAGATCTTTATTTGGTATCTTGATGAGATATCCTTCTTTCCAATCTGTTGCCACTTGTTCCCTCTCCCAATTCTTCCTTCCTAGAGTGTGGTGAATATTTCCAGTTACTTCTATGTCTGACTTTATTTCCTTTATTAATAGTTCGGGCAAGAAATCTTGATAAATTCTTTTCTAGTATGAGTATACTAGTCTGTTTTCTGACTTATAAAATTGCCAATGAAACACCTAGACTTGCACAAATAACCTTGAGCAACGATGATATCATTTTGGCTTTTGTTGATCCACCGACGTGAGCGCTTACCTCTATCTCAAGTTTTCAGCCCCATATGAAAATACATCAGAAAAGTTTCTGTTATTATACTTCAATCACACAATATCTTTATATGTGCAACAATAAAGTTGAAATGTGCCTACTAGTCCAAGTGGCTTTTTGATTCTCAGTGGTTGTAGATAGGGAGCGAATTACGCTACATGACCCAAGTTTCATGCTAGTAGATATTCCTCAATACAGTATTTCTAAAGTCTTGAAGCAACCATCGCTATTCAAAAAATTTGAAGCCATCTGAGACATTTACTACTGGTCAATTTTGTCTGCAACTAGTAGGGTAAATATTACAGTATTGCTTTATCACTAAGTAGCAATCGATTGTTCGTGTAAATTTCACTTTAACTGACACTAGTTAAAGTTGATTTGAATCCCATGAAATTCAACAGTACCTTCGTTATTTCAGACACACTTTAATAAAGAGTTACAACTAGCCAATCCATTAGGACTTCCTACCGATTGCCATAAACCATTTGACGTATATTAGTTACTTTTCAGTTTACAAACAAATAAATAGCGACATAAATATTATTGTCACGACTCATTAGTATACTGGATGGTGAACCCATCATTTGAAGTGTTTAGTGCCTAATTTAAACATGACTATGCTATAAGTCGATCAAACCGACTGCGGCATATATTTATTCAAGCATGTAGTGACCTACTTTTATCAAGAGAACGCGACTGGTTTAACGGAAACAATTATTATTATAACCAATTGTACCAGTGATTGTTTTACTGTACTTGCTTGTTTATCTGTACTAAAGATATTCTTCCTTCCTTTGATTGCGACCTTGCACGAATTCGGTTACGCTAAGTAACCACACTTGTACTTCTTTGGCACGATCTCGATATCCTTTCGATACCACGAGATCGCCAACGAATACATCTCGACTACAACCATCAACTGCCTTCTGATATTTGACCTACAAGGGATCTTATCGGTTAACTGCACGTAGTCTTCCTTTAGTGGTGATCATAGTCACCGCGAATCGACACCACACTACAAGCTCTCAAATAAACCTTACTGATGCCTATTCATGTACATGAATTATTGGATAAATATTTAATAGAGTTGAAAACAGAATGGCCATACTGAACCATCCTAATATAATCAATAGAAGAATGTTATGATTTAGAAGTGATAGTGATGAGTCAAACATATTTTTAAAAAATGTATTCTAAAAATGAGTCATTTCTTTTATAATCACCATCATAACAACAAGATTTATATT